AGTATAGCAATCTTCCTATGAGTCTCCTATAGGTAGAAGGTTCTGATAAGAGTTCTCCCTGCTCCTTAGACATTTTGATGTTTTGGTCAAGCGGCACTTTTACCGGCACTGCCCCAATCATTCCTGAATCAGCCAAGATATCCAATGCATACTTTCTTTGACAAATGTGAATTCCTTTCTTTGATCTTGCTACCTCTATGCCAAGAAAATATCTCAAGGCACCCAAGTCCTTGATTTTAAAACTTTCATCAAGTGAGTTTTTGAGAGAATGAATGACTTCCATATTGTTTCCCGCCACTATAACATCATCCACATATACCTGTACAGCTGTGAATGAGTCATTTGTGCTTCTCGTGAATAGGCTATAATCTGATTTCGATTATTGAAAACCTTGTTGTAGCATAAAAGATGACAACTTTGAGTACCATTGTCGAGAGGCTTGTTTTAGTCCATACAAACTTTTGTTGCATACCTTCCTCTTATCGTTAGTTGAATAACCCGGTGGAGGTTCCATATAGACTTCTTCATTGAGATCCCCATGTAAGAACGCATTGTTAACATCCAGTTGATGCAAATGCCAGCCTCTGATTGCTGCTATAGCCAGGATGGTCCTAACAGTCACCATTTTTGCCACTGGTGAGAAGGTTTCATGGTAGTCAAGACCCTCAATTTGGGTATATCCTTTAGCCACCAACCTAGCTTTCTTCCTTTCTTCTGTTCCATCTGCCCTGAACTTGATTTTGTACACCCATTTACAGCCTATAGCTACTTTTCCAGGAGGCAAGTCCGTTATAGCCCAAGTGTCATTCAACTCTAGAGCTTTTATTTCAGCATTCATGGCATCTCTCCACTCAGGGTGTTTGCTAGCTTCCTGAAATGAGTTAGGTTCTGTGTGTGTAGAGATAGACGAGACAAAAGCTTTGTGTGATTCAGATAATTTGTGATATGATAGAGTAGCACATAGGGAAAAAGGAGAACTTGCTATGACTGGACCTTTACCCTTGTCCAACTTTTGTAAATGGGGCAGTGAGGCAGCTTGCTGGCACACAAAATCCTGCAGATATGAAGGGGCTCTT